GCGAGTGGTGCGGCGCGACAAAATACTATGGAACTCATTATAATCAGTGATGCTGTCTACACCATAGATATATATACATATCTATGGTCTACACTGGATGCGGCGCGGCACGACACGACAAATCCCAGACAGAAAACTACTGCTGCATTCTATTTATGACGTATTGACACAAATTTCAAATACTCTTCAATGGTCGCTTTGTCCAGTGTACTAGACAGACTTTAGTTGTTGCGGCGCAGACACGGTGTTACTCACCTATCGATAAGAAACAAAGCAACCTCGGCGTCCGATCGCAGGCCTTCCGCTTCTTGAGTTCTCTCCAGCACTGGAAAGCTGATCCGATATTTACACGGGTCCTACTTCTTGCCTTATTGCCTTAAGCCTTCGTTTGTTCCGCAGACGTTTTCCTCTTTTGTTTTTTATCCGCCATCTCTATCTTTCTGTCGCTCGGCTCGCTAATGTCCATCCTGTGCACTGAACGCTCTCTCCTCATCATCATGAGTAGACACGCCCCTTACTGCTGATTGGCTACAAGTTTGTTTTGCTACTCAGCCCGAATCAGTTTTCTAAAGCGCTTTTGAAAAATCGCTTGCCCCACCTTTAAAGAGGTTCAATTTGTTAACATTAGTTGATGCATTACGTAGGTTATCATGAACTTATGATGAATAATAATTTTACTGAATTAAGATTATTATTCATTTATTAATATACTATTATTAATTTATAATTCACGTTAGTTCAGTTAATGTTTGTACTTGAAATGTTTTTGAGTTTCCAACTTATAATTAATAATATTAATCAACACTGTGAGTATTGTTTATTATTAGTTCATGATGCCTAATGCATTAAAAAATGTTATCGAATTGAACCTAAAGTATTACTGTAACAAACCACAGGAATCCACTAAATGCAGCAGTATGGACCCTTTTCACAGACTGTGATGATATTTCCACAATTACAATGTACACAATGTACATTTATAACACTATACTTTGTTTTATATTACCGTTTTAAATTACAGAAAGCTAGTTAACACTGCAACATGAGTGTTTGTAATACAACAGCTGAGGGAGAGATGGTCAATTTGACATGCTTCTCTCTTCTGACTGCTGTAGTCAATCTCTTTATATGTATATCCTGTTTTGTAAAGTTATAGAAATGCTCTGTTGCTATTGCTATCACAAACATGTGAAAAGGGTCCATATGCATTAGTATGAATGTAAACAGTCAGTGACCCCAATGATTAATACCGTATATTATTTTCTTGTGGATTCAGACGCTGCACCATGTTTTTTGATGTGTAATGTATGTAGTTGTCCTTGACTGGAAAAATTATTAATTTTTGAAATGAGTCAAAATAATGTTTTTGCTTTTCTTTTAGGGTTAGGGTTTGATTCAGGTTTAGTCGATAATAATCAGAATTAACTTTATATACATACAAAAGAAGTATTACAGTTACTAAGTAAGTGTGTGTGTGTGTGTGTGTGTGTGTGTGTGTGTGTGTTACTTAACCATAATTTGGGGACAAATTTGTCAAACCTGACAAAACCTCCTTTTGTGGATGTCTTCATTTGTTAAAACATATAAAAATAAAGTAAATAAAATAAATGCAGGAAATGTTCAGTTAGGATGTGAGTTAGGTTGTAGGATTTATAATTATCTTAGTATAAAGAAGTTATTACGTTGCAGACATTATTATTGTCTGTAATGTCTGTCATCAGTTTGCATTGGAAAAGCAATGCACTGAAACTGCCAAGATGGATGAGCCTACTGCACACTGCTGACACACACTACCAGTCAAAAGTTTGGAATTTCTATTTATTTATTTTTTTTATATTATTACAATTTAAAGTAACTGTTTTCTATTGTAATATTTTTAAAATCCAATTTATTCCTTTAATGGATAAGTTGAATTTGATCCTTCAGAAATCCTTCTAATATGCTGATTTGATGTGCAATTATTATCAATTATTATTTGTGCTCATTTATTAATAACTTACTATTATCAATGTGATCGAATAACAGGATTTAAGGATTCCTTTATTCATAGATTAGTTTACAAAACAGATTTTATTTAAAATATAAATCTTTTCTAACTAACTAATGACACATTTGATGAATTTAATGGTGTCCTTACTGAATAAAAGTATTAATTTATTTTTATTTATGTTATTTTTTAATGATGTCTGAAGGATCATGTGATACTGAAGACTGGAGTAATGGCTTTTTCTTTTAAAGATTAAATACAGTAACAAATGTATTGCTCATTGTTAATGTTAGTTAATGCATCAACTAATGGGATATTATTGTAAAGTGTTATCATATTTCTGATAATAAAATTTAATGTAGCCTTGGTGGGCATAAGAGACTTTTTTTAAAAACATTTAAAAAATCATTGCAAACTTTTGACCGGTAGTGTATGCACTTAATTATACAGTAAATATTCATATGAGAATATAACTGTGATTATTAACAGAAATTGATTCAAATACGATACGGGCTACAACAAATAGGCCAAATGTGAGCCTCATGTATAAATCTGTTTTCATAAGGAACACTTTAACATTTGATATGCATATATTACGATGTCTCATCCACCGGCTGATTTGTTTTTTTGCTACTGCAATTACATTTACAATAAACAGGAAAAATTCATAGCATTAAATAAATAACCATGCATGTAAACATGTGTAATATATAAGGCTGGATAGTCAGATTCTTGATATAGAACTGTGATTACTTGGGTAATATTTACTCATTGAAATCAGATGATTTATTATTATTCCAATATATTATTCGATATATGCTATACAATATGTTGGCGCGGTGGCTTCAATGTTATGACAATGTTAGGAATTTGTGTGATTGGAAGTTTTACATGAGGACCAACAGAAAGCTGTTTGATTTGAGAATGGCTTCTCTGTGAGCAGTGCAATACATCGATACAATACTCACAAATAGCGACTGGACATTTTTTGCCCGCAAAATTTCGCCCAAAATTCACAAATGTGACCTCACCATTAAAAAACCCCATTTAAAGACTATTTCTTTATTCACACAGTTGAGGTTCAACATCACAAACAAGTTTAAAAAAAGAGGGTAATATATTAAGTATGCACTGCTGTGGAAAAAAATACAAGTTTGCCCTATCTTGATTTCTTCTGTTTTTATGGATATTTCATCATAAATTGTTTCAGAAATGAAAACAAAATCTAACATAAAACGAAAGGCAGCCAGAGTAAACACCAAATACCGTTTTAATATGAATCAATGTAATTTACTGAAGCAAAAAATATATATATAATAGTCTGGATTGGGTTACAAAACTATTTCAAAGGCTTTTGGACTCCACAAAGAACAACAGTGAGAGCCATTATCTCCA